TTCCCTCACTGGGGAAGAACTATGAGCTGAGGCTTAGCGTCTGCTCACCCTGTGATAAGTGCCTGGATGCTAACGTAAACCTCCCCTTTGTTCTCCGTCACTTCCATGGGACTAGTGTATGCTCGGTCCCATCAGCTCTCTAGGACAGATGTAATGGAAGCCAGTTCCTTGGCTAGCATCTAGAAAAGTTAGGGTGTTAGATGTGTGGTCCAACTCTTTCCTTCCTTCTCAGGGAGAAGTCGGGAACTGAGGGTTTTCTCCTGATCATTTGGCACTGTGTTGGGAGTGGGAATTATGGCTAAGAGACATTGCAGTTTTCTTACTGATTTCAATGTAGCTGCTTTTGCATTGCCAGTGTGCAGGAGCTTCTCCAGTAGTTCTTGGGTTTCTCTCAAAGGAAACTGCCTCACGTGCTGCTACTGAACGATATGTCTGTGGTAGGAACAAGTCCGGAGCTTCCTATTCTGCTGTGCTCTTGACGCCACTTTTTATCTGCCTTCTTTAGCCCTTTCTTTATGTGCTAAGGGCTTGGTGCATATTTGCCACTGCTGGAAAGATAGGACTCCTATGGAGCTGAACCTTGATTTCTTTGAGTGCAGAAAATGACACAGGCCAGTCATAAGGCTAATCGTTCCAGGAGGTTTTTATACTACAGTACGTGCAGAACATAAAGGGCCTGTTGGCATTTTGAGCCTGTGAATGTTGCTGAGCAGTTTGGTATGTTTTCAATTTGTAGGAATAACTGAATTCATAATATTTTATTATGCTAACCTGTGTAAGAATTGCATAATGACTACATTGTCATTTTGATCTATATAGTTTTTTGTTTGTTTTGTTTTGTTTGTTTGTTTTTGGAGAGGTTTTTGCTATGGGGTGCATGTGCTCGCCAGAAAGACAGAGAGAGACAGAGAGACAGAAAGCAAGAAATCACCCCCCAGGGGGAATGGCTATGGCACAATCCCTTCTCCTCCATTCTCCTCGGAATCTTGGGCACACACTCACATGCGTCTGGTGTGAGTTTAAGCCACCAGGTCTGGGACTCGAACCGCGGTCGACTACATGGGAGTCCCGCGACATAGCCATTACGCTAACTGCTGGTCCCGATATCTATATAGTTTTTGACGGCTTCAGATACTCATCTGTTTAGTCTTTTGCCTCTTACGGTTTAGAGTTACTGTAAGCCTCATTATATAGGCTTATCTGGGTTACATTTCAGATTAGTTTTTGTTTGGTCCTTTCTTTTTTAGAGTAAATGGTTTTGTAGAAGTAGAATAATCACATGATAAACATTTTTAAAAAATACTACAGGTTATAAAGTAGTAACACTTCTGCTGTTTCTCTGCAGAT